TTGGTGTTGACCCTCCTACGCTGCAAGAATATTATCAACTAAATTAGAATGTGGTAGTGAATAGACTTTATGCACAATGAATGACATCACAAGACTTGATGCCTGTGGGGAATGCTGGTCTTAGTAGTCATTGCTTGGGAAAATTTCAATGGTGGCCATTTTTAATTGTTTAACTTTCCTGGGCAATGACTACTAAGACCAACATTCCTCATGGGCATCAAGGCTTCTGATGTCATCATGCATAAGATCTATTACACATGTAAGAACACACAAGTTGTTACAAGCCTGCGGCAGACTTATGACCAAATTGCTGCCTTGCTACAAGCTGGGACGTAGTGAAGCATCTGAAGTTGGGGGGGGGGGGGGGGGGGGGGATTTTACCTGAAATTTGAATTTCAATGTTAAAAATTTACCTGAAGCATAATAATTATAATAAAGCTTGTACATTTTTACATTTTTGGAAAATTACTCTAGGACTGCATTTCTGGCATTTTCTAAAACAAATTTGAAAACAAATTGGATGTAAATTGACTGTATTTTACAAAAATGGTTATCGTTTCACAAAAATAATTACTTTAGTATGCAAATTTTACCTGAAATTGTCAAAATTTTAACTTGAATTTTACCTGATCATTATTTTTGCCATCTGGAGTTTCACAGTTGGGGGTCACCCTCCCACATTCTCTGGTTGCTACGTCCCTGGCTACAAGCTTGTTTCAGTAACTTGTTATTGTCTTGCAATTCAACAATTTGTTAACAAGTTGTGAGTGACAAGCTTGTAGCGACTTGACAAAATATTGGCATTATTATAACTAATGTTGACATGCTTGCCTTGCCACAACCTTCGTGCAAACACAAGTTGTTGGTTAGATAATGCTTATTAAATAGCAAATTCAGCCTGCCAGCAATGCTCTACTAAATGAAAATGTATGCTTAAAATTAACTCCGGCTTTGATTATAGAAATCCTGTCTGTTAAGCATTGTGTTTCTTGATTTTGCAAACGTTTCTCAAAATTCTGCTTGTAACTCAATTTTTGGCTGGCAGAATGCTCACTGCTTGATGCAGGAAATTATGCTCCAAATTATGTCGGCATTAAAACTGAGTAATTGGGAATATATTTCAGAATAATAAAGATGCTAGAAGTTTTATATGATCAAGTATTGATGAGACTTGAGGAATTATTCTACTATATATTACCCCAAAGTTCTGATTTTGATATGAGGTAGAGTTTGTCTTTACACACACAATAGTTTTCTTTCACAAAGCTGGCCATGGCAACTGGTCATGCTATATGCTAATGCATACAGACAATGCAATATATACATGCTATGCTAATAAGAGAAAAGATTTCTAAAATTTTAATACATTTCATGAATTTTATGAAGATTATAATTTAAATCTTGTAATTTATATTAAAATAGAGAATTTGTTAAATAACAGAAAATTGTTTTCAAATAAATGTAAAGTTTTTCAAATTTCAATTTTTCAAATTTTTGGTAATTTCAGCCAAAGTGTTCAAGATGGACATAGTTACAGCCTGCTGTTGTTGTTGAAACTGTTGTTGCTGCTCCATCATTGATCTTGTAAATTCTTCCTGTCGCCTTAACTGATTATCCATGAGGTTCAGTTCTCTTTCTCGTAATTCTCGTGCCTGTTCTTGTTCTTTTTTCTTCATCTCAAGTGATCCCTTCAGTACCTCCATCACATCACTGTTCCGTCTCCTCTTTCTCTCCGGTGTAACCAACTCCTCATTCTCTTCACTATGCCGTCTTCTTGTCTCTCCAAAACTCTCCATTGCTTTCTTTCTCATTTCTTCTGCTGTTCCCTTCTCCTTATTTTCTTTTTCTTTGTTACTTTCCAATGTCATCTCACATTCACTCATCCTCTCCAATATATCAACCATTGCTCTATCCCTCTCTGTGTAATCCACATCAATTCCACTTGCACGTTCCTCCATTGCTTCTTTTTGTTTAAAATCTTTCAATATCTTCTCAAACTTCTCCCTCACTGACCTCTGACTAGCCTTCATCCCCATTTCCGACAAATTTTCTGCTATTTTAGTCCAAGTGGCCCCTCTCTCTTTCGACCCTTGTCGATACTGAAATGGCTCCAGTAGCAGAACTTCTTGAAGGAGAAGTTCCTCATGTATTGCCTTCCATGTAAAAACCTCACGCTTAGCAGGAGCATTTGCCATCTGAAACAAATAAAATCACACATATATACATATACATACATACATTATTAAACCTACTCGAGTACATGTGTGTACTTTTAAAGTGTGACTAGTAAATATAAATAATATATAATATAAAAGTGACAAGTCTATGCTGACTAATATTTTCTATATAGCAGGTCACGAGAAAATACAGAAACTTATTTGTGTAAAGTTTCGTCAGTTGAACATTTAAAAAAATGCTATATGGTCACATCTCATTCACTTGAATTTCTGTCACTTGAGCTTAAATATTTTGTGATTGTTAAAGGATACAAAGCCTTTGTCGAGAAGAGAAATATAGAGCTATTTCCAGAGAAATACTTATATTTTGAAGCTCAAATTTTGCCATGTTTTGTTGTTTCATAGGGTTGTTTATGCAAATTGTTGTGCTCGCAACTCCCGTCCCACGGATACCCAGAATATTTCCGGTTTAGTGTACACTTCCGCTCAAAAACTATACACCGGAAAGGCATCGGAGCAAAGATGAAAGAAAATATCAACTTACCTTACTTCTGAAAACTTCGTACTCAAGACAACGAGTTTTGCAAAAAATTTCGTACTCAGATTGGCGCCGGCTACGAGTTTCTCGCGTCAGTACGAGATGGCGTGAGCGCACAACCAGCGTTTCGCGCAAAAATGACGAATTTCGTACTCGTAGTCGTACTCGTACTCCTTGCTAAAACTCTCTATTGCTACCATTGCTACTACTGCTACTACTGCTACTACTGCTACCATTGCTACCACTGCTACCATTGCTACTACTGCTACCATTGCTACCACTGCTACCATTGCTACTACTGCTACCACTGCTACCACTGCTACCATTGCTACTACTGCTACCACTGCTACCACTGCTACCATTGCTACTATTGCTACCATTGCTACCATTGCTACCACTGCTACCACTGCTACCATTGCTACTACTGCTACCACTGCTACCATTGCTACTACTGCTACCATTGCTACCACTGCTACCACTGCTACTACTGCTACCATTGCTACCATTGCTACCACTGCTACCACTGCTACCATTGCTACCACTGCTACTACTGCTACCATTGCTACCACTGCTACTACTGCTACCACTGCTACCACTGCTACCATTGCTACCATTGCTACCACTGCTACCATTGCTACTACTGCTACCACTGCTACCATTGCTACCATTGCTACTATTGCTACCATTGTTACCATTGCTACCACTGCTACAAATGTATCGGTTCATAGCATATCAAAATATAAGATCAAAATCCCTATACTGTGATCAAAATGCATGCAAAACTCATTAAAACCCTCTAAGCCAATGAGAATGCTTCTTCTGAGCACTGCGAGCTGACTCTATAAAGATATATAAGTATATATAAAAGATATACAGAAAGTACATAAAAAATATATAAAAATTATATACAACCGTATAATAGGTGATGCTGTGGTGTGAATTTAATAAATCGGTCTGTGGTTGTATACTTTTATTTGTTAATTGTGTGTTGATTAAATTGAACTGTGTGAAGTGTTTGGATTATAGTATGTACAGATTTGATTGTTTAATTTGATTGGTGGAAAACATTTTTTGTTCTAAAACTATTTACATTGGTTGCCTGATTGGTGGAATGTTCTGATCGATTAAGTAATTGATTGTAAGCCGACTATATCCTACACATGTTCGGATTTGGGTTATGGATTTCCCTGTGGATTCGCCAATTCGGTGTCTTTCATGGGAGGAACTGGTACAGTGTCTGGCACAATTATTTTATACATTGGAGAGATTGTACCATTATTTAACATCTCGTTAATTTTCCCATTATAGAACATTCTGGCATCATGAACACTCCCAGGCCATTTAATGACCACATCAGTAAAACACTATTTGCAGTCACAAATAGCCGGTATATTCAGTGAGTATCTGTTTTTTCGGTTGAGGTAATCCATTGGATTTTCAGAAGGTTGTTTGACAAAAACATGAGTGCCATCAATAGCCCCAAGAGACTGAGGGAATCCGTGTTTTTCATAAAAGCGTTCAACTGCTTTCTTTACATCTTCCTCTGTCTTGGGAAACATAATATATCGAGGTCCCATGACAGTTGATATTATTAAACACACCTTCCGGACAACTATGGACACAGTAGACTTTGCTAACCCAAATGCATTGGCTACCTTGCGAAACCTTCTTTCATCAGCAAGATAATACAGTGTCACAGCGACTTGCTTTTCCACTGACTCATAGGTTTTCTCATGTTTGTTATTTTCTTGAGAAGGAAAGGTTGGACTTCGTTGCATAACTTCAACGTCCTTGCCTTGTTTATATTCCCCATTGTGTTTAATACACCATAATAATACGAAGCTCTCTTTGGAGCTTTTAAAATATATTTGCCTGCCAACGTGTATAACACGGGAAGGGGTCTATTTAAACTTTTCCTAAGTCATTATATTTAATACTGTGATATTTATAACTGTAGTACAGCCATACAGGTGCAAAGCATAATATAATTTTGAACGGTCTTCGTCTACTACTATTTTCCAGACAAAGTCGAAGGGCCTTCGCTCGAAATGCCGACGTTTTGCTTGTATTTCCAGGCAGTTGAATCGCTGTCCATCTATTGTAAAAAGTTTATTGAAAGCATGCAGCGCAGGTTATAGTAAATATGCAACAATTAAAATTTTAAGTCATCAATTTATACAAAACAAGACGCTCTATAGAGCGTTAACTCGCTGGGGCTATACAAACACGCACATTACCGTACATGATATACATACATGCATGCAGTATACAGTTGTTTTAATTAAGATTTAAGGTTGTCCCGAGCTAAGCGGAAAAGTCGAATACGAGCGCGAAAGGGTTGAAGATTAAACTTTTCAGTTACGTGTTTTGTTCACTCTGTTTTGAACTATATCAACATATAACACTGCTCTGTATATTTAGGTGAATACCATGTTATAATATTGTTATTTATATCCCACTGACTTGCATTGTGCCCCAATGCAATCATGCACCCTACTTTATTAGTTTAATGCCTCATACCAGTCGATTTTGCTTGTCAAAGGGAGAGTGCTGCCGCTCTCAAATTGGCTAGGTTTGTATTGCAGGTAGGACGCTCAGTTTTGACGTTTCTGTTAATATAATGACCCAGTTTAGGATTTTATACAATCAGACAATACAAATAAAACTTCCGGCGTTTCCACCGGCTAGCCAGTTAACTGCGCGTTCAAAATAAAATTACGTTCAAAATAAAATATTTGGGGGCTTTTGGGCTCAAAATACTATCAAAATGAAGAGAGAAGTGAGACAAATACACTGGTATACGACCGAAAAAGAGAAAACCAACGATACCAAAGTTATCAAGGATCAAACGTACTACATTTTTTATAATTAGTTGAATAGTTTTGAGCGATTCGTTCGCAATACAATTTCGCTTGGACTTTAAAGATAAAGGCCATATATCGCTAGAATACTGTTGTTTAGTGATACATTTGACACCCGTAAGTACAATTTCTTACGCTGAATCGAACGGTGGTATTTTTTATCTTTATTGCGCCATTAGGCATTAATACAACTTAGTATAAGGTCAAGGACAAACGTATACTGCGAGTGAGTGTCAACATGAAAACGTACTGCGAGCGATTTGTAAACAATACAATTTCGCTTGATTTTGAATGGCCATAAATCGCTAGAATACTGTTGTTTAGTAATAATTTGACATCCGTAAGTACAATTTCTTACGCTGAATCGAACGTTGGTATTTTTATCCTTATTGCGCCATTAGGCATTACGAATACATTATATTTCACACTACAGTTTTTACGTTTCCACAGCCGTAACTAATAACTATTTAATAGAGACTGTTGTT